CACTTGATTAATAAGTAGCATCGGTTAGCCCAGTTTGCCTCATTTTAAGCATGTTTGCGTGCAGGCCAGCAGTAAACGAGATGAGCGCTCCTACTCCTCTGATCAGGCTTTCTGTCCAATTTTTTACTCACTCAATCATTCGTAATAATCAGCATCACAGTAGATGACAACTTATTGCCCGTAACTGGCAGTGCGAATGCTCTGACACGTTATTCTAACTACTTAGTTAAGCTCTGCTGCCTCATTTCAGGGGTCCCATCTTCAAGCAACTCAGCCTTTGCCATGTCAAGGGACACCTCAAATGAAAGCTCTTTTGCTGCTGCTCGTCTGACGTCCGCCATTCACCAATTAGGGGCAACAGCGCATTTCTCCGCTTCCATGCCGTCTGATCAGGCGATGCTAACGAGTCGGACTTCGAGTAAACTGGGAATGGCTGATTGTGGGCAGAAGAATGGTCTCTCGGTTCTGCATGATGACTCGTCTGAGATCGTCGAGAGGGATTTGGACGCATCATCGGAATGTTCGTTGGGTGTTAGGAGTTGATGCAAGGCTAACGCAAAGGTGACAAGTTTTACCAAATAGTGGGTGCAGGTCAGCGTTTGCATTTTAAAGGATGGGGCTGTGCTTCAAGTAATCATATGGCAAAGTGGTCTTCGCTGCCGATGGTCTACCGATAAAGTTGAGCAAGTCATTTCTCTCTCCTCCCAACTCTTACTTTGGAACCATCCAACGGGAGCATTTTGCTTAATGCCAGAGATCATTTCAGACGAAACTAGAAGCGTCCTCCTTCAAGCCCTCATTGCAAGGCACTTGTTCTTGTTGAACGCAAGAGCAGTCACGTGGAAAGTGGGACTCGACGATGAGACATTTGGTGTTGAATGCGTGCACGTCTTGGGCTCGCTCAAAATGGTTTCCTTTCTACGCCTTTGCCGAGTGGATGCCTATAAAACAAACAGAAAGCGCTCCCCTCCACAAGAGGCTACCGCCTCTGGGACGTCACGTCGCAGTTGTGACGTCGCCTTTTGAGTGGCCTCATTGCCGACTTAAAATGGTCCACCGGCTGGCTAAGGGAAGGAGTGCTGGTCATCCTCCTCCAGTCACGCGATCCTCGCCGCGTCTGGAATTTCAATTAAGCCGGTCGCCTTGGCTCAAAAACGAGGCCAATTTGGCGGTAAATCAGTGAGAGGAGGAGTGGTGGGGTGATGGTGGAAGGGGTAAGTGACCATATTTAACTTTTTGTGGACCGCCACTTGACGCGCATCTACTGAGAGTTTTGCCAATCAAGAAAGCAAAGTCGGGAAGATCAAAGCCTTAAGCTACATTTTGTTAGTTCCACGTTGTGCCGAGTGCATCAATATAAAATTTAGCACTGTGCCTATGGAGTTGTACGGCAACTTTAAATTATAATTTCAGCGTTGAGAGAAATTATTAATTTAACGATTGTTTTGATAATTTCGCCATAAATTCAACTTCAAACCTATTAACCTGTTCCAAAACGCTCTCTGTTTAGTAAAAGTGACACACCGATAACCACAATAGTTGTCCGGATTCTCAAACAGCATCTACGGATTTTCATGGCACTGGGTGCATCCAAGTCAACTTTAAGAGCCAATATAATTTTCAATATAAACCATAAGGGTAAATGGAATGGAAGGTTCCGCCACACGGTTATGTAAAAATGCTTTTGGCTTTTAAACACCTAGGTCGACTATTGTCTGGATGGGACGATAAACGTGGCTTTGGTGCTGAGAAAGATTAATATATCGCGGGCAAAATTGATAAAACTGTGGATAAGCCCTCGCAGCTTGAATTGCTATCCAAGGTAGTCCTCCAAATTACACCTTTGAACGTGCATTTTCACTAATGAAGCGTTTCTTGCCTTCCTTTTTCATCTTCATGGCTTCACGGCAATGTAGTCCTTTTGATAGTTTCAAATCACTCCGAAATTTGGGAATCTTACTAGAATGGATTGCTTTGGCATAAAACCTTATAAGTCCATTACTTGACTACTTCACTGGTCCTCCTCGCTTCTGAACACGCCTATTTTCGTAGGTTCCAAGGGTCTGCTGAGCAAAGCAGAGGCAAATGTCCCAGTGACGGTTCCAATCCAAGGCTGCCGATCGTCAAGAATTGCACACGGTTTTTTGTGCTGATTCCTTTTCCAGTCACGTGGGGGTGTGGGTATCATTGGGATGTCTCGAAATACGAGTGGAGTTGTAGAATTGTATGAATGGGAGATTTAGTTGTAAAATTTTAAAAGGACCCAAACTTACATCTTTATACCATTTTTAAGTAATTTCTCCAACTACTTTACCTGTCACTTAGGTAGTAGCCAGTAGTTCTAGAGATATAATTTTGGCATCTTTGGGCCGAGTTTATAATTAAGAGGCTGAATAAAACACTAATTTGTGACCTAAAAATGGCTCAGTCCGTCACAGAGTAGATTCCGCAAGGGTTTCTGTGATATATGCTAGTGTGTTTAAGTTCGCCTTCATATGAGATAGGCAGGAAGTCAATCCTAACACGAATCCAGTGCATGAGGATTTTGAAGATTCCTTCTCAGGTCGACATCAGCTTTCCGTCTCACCCATCTTCTTTCCTTCTGCACACGATGTCTAATAAAGCTTCCACAACTAACCTCCTCCTGAAGTTCGAGATTCGTGGGATAAGTAGGCTCCACAGTCTCAGTGGTTCTATTACACCTTCTCTATGGTGACTTGTGTGGGCTGCAATTGAGATAAAGTCTCACCAGTTTTTATATTTTAACCCACACATTTGTTTGTGCTCCAATCGATGTTTCGAGCTCTGAGGTCCGTAGGACAGGGCGAAGCTGACCTGATGAACCCTCCTGCGTTTTTACAAGAGTTATGGTTTTGTTGTGTTTCTCGGATATTTTCCCGTGGACATTTTGATGGTATGATAGCTGCTCCTGATTTAACATGCCTCGACAGTTAACCTTAATGCGACAGAAGAAGAGTGCAAACTAGGCGTTGAATATTTCCCTATCTGAACCCTTAGAAAGAGTTATAACCACCGTCTGTAAGCAGCAACAAACCTGTCTCCAATTCTGTACAAGTACAGAGATAGATTTAATGGTGAGATTACTGATACTACTGCTTACAAAGCTGATCAAGAAGGATGTTTGAAGAGTATTAAATAATTTCTTAACTTTTTTTTCAGACTTTAATCTCGCTCAAACCTTTGGGCTACCCTTAACAAGGTTAGCTTTGTGGTCTTCTTTAGCACTGAGTATTTTGACCTCAGCATTCCTTCTGAGGGACGGAAGCCTAACAATGAGGGGAATAGATTTCATTCACTTGAATTGCTATCCTATAAAATGGATTTGAGAACCCACAAGCAACTTGAAACTTGTTTTATCATGTGACTGCTGTTTCATCATGTAAACGTTGCAACACATCGGAGTACCTTTGACGGCCTTCAAAGTGAATACTTCCATCTTTCCAGTCCAAACTAGACATCGAGGCCGGTCAAATTCGATTGCTGTATGTGGATGATTAGCACACAGCCAAAAAAGAGCATGTGCTATGAATACGACCTATTCACAGTGTTCCCTGTCTTATAGAAGCAATTTTGGAGGTTCGATCGTAGCTGAACTTAAAATAGTTTGCATGTGTCACAGGCATCTCTAGCATAACAGAGTTAACTTAACTTCAATCACTATCCACCAAGGAAGAGGCCATTTTATCAGACTACAGTGGTGGTACATCTCTTTGTAATCCCAATGCACCAACGGCTTAATACCGCATATAATACTACACGATTTTCGACAAAGTAGTCTAAATTTTTGCAGTTCATGACTTTAGGAGATATGATTGTCATTTAACATTTCCTTCTACCATTGATGAAGGCCTAATTAAGCCTTCTTTGGCAGCATTAGTCGCAATGAGGTAACAAACAAAACCACTCGTAAAACCAAAACAGAGGCAGCTCTCTTTCTCTCCTCTCCTTCATTATCTCACGGGGCGTCAGAATTTGCCAAATACTGTTGTTGGAAGCTCGTGTGTTATTTTCTTTCCTCATTAAGTCAACCCAGTGTAGCTGCATCAGTATCACGTCCTCTTTCTAACCGTAAAAATGAATTTTGAAGTAGGCGATGCCATTCTATTTATGGCACACAAAAGACAACTAAAATGAGCTCAGATTTTCTTCAACACTCGCTGTAGTAAGTAGCCTCTGGAGCGATCAAATGGTAACCAGGGCCTTAACTCATGCACCATTCCCAAGAACCGAGGCTTTGAGAAGTAAAAACAAAATTAGATGAAGTAAAATTTGCAGTAAGTGGTAAATAATAGCATTCAATTGCCCTTAAAATGGGAATTGGAATTGCGAGTGACAGCATAGACAGAGAATAGTGACTAGCTTATTTATGTGGTAACGCTGAGAGCTTTTGATCTCACTTCTGGTTAAGGAATGTGCACGTTTCAAGGCTCGATTTTGGTTTCGTTAGTCAGTGTTTACATGAAAGTGAATTTTTCGCATTGCGTTCGCATTTTACGCTTGGACAGTCTTCCAAGTGTGGAAACCTCGGAGTGAAAACTATGCTTAGCTCTCAGAACCTCCTTTTTTGAGCATTTGATTGGAAGACGCTCGGAATATGAGACCCGATGATGGACAGAAAACTGACCTTAGATTGCATTTTATTTTGATCCTCACTGCCAGTTGCGAAGCTGACCGGATTGCATTCGAGGATAAGCGATTGCCACGCAGAAGCACAAAACTTCGTGATCATGTGGTCATTGTCGCTAATCGTGTGTTTGTGAGGCGTTTAGGGACACTAAAATGTGAGTTAAGTATAATTTGGCAGAAACTACTGACATAACACTGCTCGCTCCTGAGCCTCTCCCCGCATAAAACTTTATAACGTGAGTTCTTTACATCAGTCAAAACTTCGACCTGGATTACGGTTGGTGTGATATAGTGAGCAATTCTTTTGCCTTGTATTAGTCAAAGATATGCCAATTACTTGTCTTCGTTAACAGTCAATTGGTAACTGTTAGAAACCTAAAGTAACTCGCTCCAAGAAGTTATATCCGGCTTCAACTTGGCTTGACATAGTTTAAATGTATCATCCAACGGGAGCAACATGTCTGAACTATGTTGATTTTGCTTAGTGATGTGAAACTTTGTGACATGTCCACTGACTTTAACGCCTTCAGATAAGCATTTTGGTAATTAGTCGACGAATTTGACTAGCAGACCTCCATCCAAGAGCGTATGATGTGAAATCTACGCTTAAATGCCACTTTAATGAGATGGTTGGATTGCATGCTTACTGCCAGATACTGAGGCTAGAGTACATTCTTATCTTGCTCCCTATATCAAATTAAGCAATTATCAAATGCATTTTCGCTGAAAACTCAGCTTTGAGAAGCGCGTTACACGCTTTACTAGGCGTTGAATGGCGTGTGCACTCCAGTGCGACGGTGATATCTACGAAGAATGAAGAGTCACGAGACGTCCAATTTCGGTGTAGATCGCAAAGGAATATCTAACGCTTCTCCCTAGTACCACCGTCCGCAGAA